ATTCATGGATGACTTGAATAAAACCTTACAGAAAGACAAGATCATACTTTGTATGCTTTATTAAAAAAGCAATAATGTCGTATCATTCCATCCCTACTCACAAGAATATTTGCTGTCAAGTCTTTACAAGAATAGCTCAACCAAATGATGCACACATGTTAATAGTTCACCTAAAAGTATTCTCCTCAGCAGTTCTTGCTCCATACAGTTGTTTCTGCATTTCCATTTTTAGATTAGATAAGTTCTAACCAAACCCTGAGGAAATTTGTATTTGAATTGAAAATTCATTCGGCTGTCTGTGGCTTTTCTCTGTGTGGTGTGATGTGCTGCATATTTACATTATTTGTGTCTCAGCTGCAGGACATGAACACGTGCCTAGCTGGGTCTGGGTTGCTGCAGGGATCTTCAACTTCTTGGCCTATACACTGGGTGAGTCCTAACCCCTGCATCCCATGTGTGTTGTTTTATCTCTGACTTTTCGAGAGGCTCAAGGGAAATTCTTCCTAATGGAATGTATTCTGTAGAGTGACTCTGTCCACCACCAGCATGGGGGGAAAATCCTCAGTATATTGTGTAAATGTAAAAAAAAATAAACATGCAGTATGTGATTTGAGCTGTAAGAACTTCAAAGATATCCAGTCTGCATTTAGTGTTATGGTAGTACATTTGATGTAGTAATCAGACTTTTTAACTAAAAAATTCAGATTTCTTTAATGAAATGGCCACCTTAAGTGTGTGTCGCACAGGAAACAAGGTGGGAGAAGTAGGCATTGAAATGTGGTAGGGGTCATTTATTAGATACACTCTGCCTTGTTCCAACAACTACTGTTTACAGACCCTCAAGAAAGACATTTAAAGCTGTTAATGTGTAATATGTGCTCCAGGTTTAAATGAAAAGCTATATTCCACATAAGCTGCATTCACATGGATTCCGGTAAACAGTAGACGGCAAACCGGATGCCATGTTAGTGTTGCAGGTATTTTCTGAGTTTACCTTTCTGCTCTCATCCACCAACAGTAGGTGGCATTGTTGGTCCAAAGTTAAACTATTTTAACTTTTTGCCGTCCTCCGCACCAGAATTTAAAACTGGAGTTAGTTACTCCCTCACACAAGGAGAAAATATTTTTGGACATAAGATATTAATAATTGCTAAATTACTTAAGATACTATGCATGTAATAATTCAAATTTAATTTTTTTAATATATATATTTTATTACCTTTTATTTTTTATTATATGACATCACCCCAGCAACATATTGTTGTGTGTGTCATTTTGCAGTCTTGCCATTCTAGCGGATGGTTTGTTTGCTTTTCCCATGCTGATTAAGGTGCTGTCTGTCTTCCGTCAGTCTGAATCCATTTGAATGCAGCATAAATTGATGAATGTTCACCATTTGGTGCGATCATCCAAGACATTTAATGGAGATCGTAATTTACGTAATTAGTTATTAAATACTAATGTGACTGTGCCACACTCCCCTTACTCTCCACCCCAGTGCTTCAAACTGTATTGATCACAACACAAGAGCAGCATTTACACAACAAGGTGTAACATTATGCATAATAAATGTTGGTACGTGTTTGGACAGTTTTCCTGACTAAGAGCTCCTGAATAATGCCTCTCATCAGTAGCTTATAGGAATTCTAATAGAAGTGTTAGAGAGGCGAACTGAATGTGATCTTTAAACTTGTTTATAGCACGCTCACTAAGAGTTGCAAAGGCACTTAGTCATATAAATACCATATAGATGCCCTCAACTTTTTCCCCAGGCTGTTAGTCAGTGAATCTTTCTGCAGCCAAATAAATACAGATTCATTTTATTGTCAAATTCCTTCTCTGTTTGTGTTTTTATTCGTGTGTAGAAATGTACTCTGTGAACCAGACTAAAGTCAGTTTAAAAGCTGGCTGACAATTTTGTGAACCATTTAAAATGAAATCACTTTCCATATGGCATTTTCATATGAGGGTGAGTTTGCAGAATACTTCCATGTGTGGATGAAATGAGTGTAGTCCAGATCAGTTTCTCTGACAGTAAACTCAGTGGTGGGCAGCAGGAATGTGGACTTTGTACAGTTATGTGAGTGTGGGCAGCAGATTTGGAGTGGAAATGGAAGACGTTCAAAAAAGAACATCTTTATATGTTTATGTGTTGCTATATAAACACAAACGTGAACTGTATGTAATGATCTGTGTCTTTTTTTTTTTTTTTAATGTGTAGATGGTGTTGATGGTAAACAGGCTCGTCGCACCAATTCATCCACACCACTAGGGGAGCTGTTTGACCATGGCCTGGACAGTTGGGCCTGCATCTTCTTTGTGGCCACTGTCTACTCCATATTTGGTCGAGGGGAAAGTGGCGTGGGCGTGGCCACACTGTATTACATCCTGTGGGTGGTGCTGTTCTCGTTCATTCTGTCTCATTGGGAGAAATATAACACTGGCATCTTGTTTCTGCCCTGGGGATACGATATCAGCCAAGTGGTAAGGACCCACACAAACGCGTACACATGGACCTAGACGTGAAATAAGATGAAATCCACAGCTAGTTAATTGACCATTTGCTAATCCCTGACCCTGTAGGAACTGTTGCAACCACAGTCAAGCTTAACGTTCTCTCAGTGCGTCAAACCAAGCTCTCTGGCAGTCAGTTTTTGTTGGCTGAAATGCCGCTTGTTGCTAGCCGACTTTATCAGCTGTAGCTAGCTAGCTGACATTAGAGTTAGTTGAAAATGCAGTCTCTGGCTGCATTTTGATTGTTTCCAGCTGAGCGGTTTTCAAATGAGAAAGGTAAAAGGGATCTTAAAGATGCAGGTGATGAATTAGCATCCTCGCCACTTAATGATCCGTAAAGAAGACCCATAAATAAAGAAACACCATTATATTATATTATATTATATTATATTATATATATATATAATATAATATAATATAAGTCTTAATTCACAAAAATGTAATGTTCACTTTCAACATTAAAAGTCAGAAGGCTATTATGAGGAGGACTAACCAATGTATGCAGCGAATGGAAGTCACTGTTTGGGGGAGGGGTTTAACAAATGGTCAACACTGACGTAACAACCTCCTAATGACTTGATGCCTTGGGTCTCGTCTCCTTCCAGACCATATCCCTCGTTTACTTGGTCACTGCTGTGGTCGGCGTGGAAACGTGGTACAAGCCGGTCTTTTGGCACTTCCTCTACAGAGACCTTTTCACCTTTATGATCATCGGTGAGCTGTGATTGGTCACACTGTGTACATTCATTCACTAGCTCAAGCAGCTACAATAATTTACTTCTTTTTTTATTCCCAGCCTGTTCCTTCACTGTGACCTTACCCATGAGCCTCTACAATGTCCTGAAGTAAGTCAACTTTTCATTAGCGTTTTATTACATTGTAGTATTATTATTTCACACAGCGCTCTGAACTCTTGACCCTCTGTGGTTTGGCAGAGCTTACCGCAGTAACACTCTGAAGCACAGCAGCCTGTACGAAGCATTCCTTCCCTTCCTTTCTCCTGTCCTCCTCTTTGTCTTGTCCACAACTTGGGTGGTCTACTCTCCATCCGAGATCCTCGAGCTGCAGCCCAGGGTCTTCTACCTCATGGTGGGGACAGCCTTCGCTAATGTCACGGTGAGCACCTGCTGATTTTAAACACACATACGCCACTACTCTTTTTGTGCTTTCGACAGCCACACAATACATACATGTCTGTATTTAGGTTATAATGTACATTTATTCATGTGTGAATGTCTGTATCTTATCTTGCAGTGTAAGCTGATTGTGTGTCAGATGAGTAACACACGTTGCCAGGCACTGAGCTGGCTGTTGCTGCCCATGGCGCCGGTGGTTTTGTTAGCGGTGACCGGGGTGGTCGGCAACGAGACCGTGCTCCTGTATCTGTGGACAGCTGCTGTCATACTAGCGCACATACACTACGGTGTATCAGTGGTAAGAGCACACACAGTACCTCTTTAAAATAAAGAAATAAAAAATGCACAATAAATATGTAGCTACAAATAGCAGCCGGCTGGCTTATATTAATATTACAGTGGAAACCGCTAGCCTGGCTCTGTCAGAAGGTGACAAAGTCTACCTACCAGCACCACCATAGTGGTAGTAGTGGTAACCTACTGGATTGGTTCCGGGCAATCTTGCACATGACCTACTGCAAAAAGATGTTTTTATACTACGGGTTAAATAAACAAGATACAGCGTGTTAATTAATTAACTTTTGTTACCTTTAGACAGAGCCAGGCTAACTGTTTTCTCATTTCCAGTGTTTGTGCTAAGCTAAGCTAACCTGCTGCTGGCTGTAGAATTGTATTTAACAGACAGATATGCGAGTCATATCCACCCTCTTATCTAACTGTCCAACGTCTAAGTGTAGTAATACTACTTCAATTCCCTGTGCTTCAAAATCAGAGACAGAATTACATGTGTTGGTCCTGAGCTGCTAAATGTTGAAAGTTATACACATTAGAATTTGAACATCTCCAATAAAACAATGTTTTTTCCATCGCTAGGTACAACAGCTCAGCAGCCACTTCAACATCCTCGCCTTCTCCCTGAAAAAGCCCAACAGTGACTGACAGGAGGAGGAACGAATCGGCTTGAAAGAAGCTGAGGTTTAGGCTCCTCCTCTCCTCGGCTTATCGACACTTCACTCTCATCACCACGGAAACCTCATCCCCTGCCCTCCATTCATGAGGACACTGCAAGTGGAATAAACTGTGGCCCTTTTTTTCCACTGTCCCCAGACACACATACACACACACA